CAGTATTGTAACAAGGAGACATTCTCTCCTCAAGTACTGTAACAAGGAGACATTCTCACCTCCAGTATTGTAACAAGGAGACATTCTCACTTCCAGCACTGTAACAAGGAGACATTCTCACCTCCAGTATTGTAACAAGGAGACATTCTCACTTCCAGCACTGTAACAAGGAGACATTCTCACCTCAAGTACTGTAACAACGAAACACTCTCACCTCCAGTGCTATAACAAGGAGACATTTTCACCTTCAGTACCGTAGCAAGGAGACATTCAGCACTGTAATAAGAACGTTATCAACTCCAGTACTGTAACAAGGATACTCCAATATATATATAAACCATATATATAATATGTCACCAGCATGTCAATCTCTGGTGAACCAGAAAACTCCAGTTTCTCTTACTATCTGGAGGATGTCCTGACTTTCTATTTTAACTAAGATACCCCTCGTCTTGAAAGTGATTTTTAACCAACTGCTCTCCAGTAATAATATTACTTCGCACCTCAGGGTATCTCAAACCTAAAAATGACAGACTCGGCTATTGATCGCGGACATTCGTCAGAGGTAGGAAATTCTACTTTCCACCCCCAGGGAGAGGGCGAACCTCATAATGATACTTTATTTTTGGAGGAGTATTCCTGGGATGCAGTGGCTACTACCGTGGCCAAGTCCCTTGTTATGTGCGCTATTATATTGTGTGCTGTCTTTGGAAACATGCTGGTTATCGTTAGCGTTTACCGACACCGTAGGCTCCATCTGGCGACGAACTATTTCATCGTATCGTTAGCCTTTGCCGATACCTTGGTCGCTTTAGTTGCTATGTCATTCAATGCTAGTCTAACTATTGCTGGGAGATGGATCTTCGACCAGACCACGTGCAAATTGTGGAACTCGTGCGATGTCCTTTTCTCCACAGCCTCCATAATGCACCTTTGCTGTATCAGTGTAGACAGATATTACGCAATAATAAGACCGCTAGAGTACCCGCTGAAAATGACCAATGTCCGAGTTTACATCATGCTCACCTGTGTGTGGGTGTCCGCGGGTCTGATTTCTTTCATCCCGATATTCCTAGGATGGTACACCACCGCAGAAAACCTCGAGTATCAACAGCTGAACCCCCACACCTGCGAATTTATCGTCAATAAACCTTACGCCATCGTCTCGTCCAGCGTCTCCTTCTGGATCCCCTGCTTCATCATGGTGTTCACGTACTGGAAGATCTACATGGAAGCCACCCGGCAGGAGAAGATGCTGTGTAGGTCGCAGCCAGCGTATGTACCTCCGAGTAGCGCCCGAAACAGTACGGACACGAACGCCCGGTTCAGCTCTGACCAGACGGCTTCTACCAACTTGCTGGCTCCACCCCTCCACCGGACCTCGTGTGTGGACGAATCAGAAAACGGCCGCTCAACCCCCACGAAACGAGCAATAAATAAGATGAAACGAGAGCACAAAGCGGCCAAGACCCTGGGGATCATCATGGGGGCTTTTATCCTGTGCTGGTTGCCCTTCTTTCTGTGGTACGTGTCGGTAACGCTTTGTGGGGAGAAGTGCTTCACTCCCGGGACTCTAGTGGACACTCTCTTCTGGATTGGTTACTTCAACTCCTGTCTCAATCCAATCATTTACGCTTACTTCAATAAAGACTTTCGAGAAGCGTTCAAAGAAACGCTACAATCAGCGTCTTGCAAGTGTCATTGGCCAAACAAGTGTCATTGGCCAAAGTGGAAAATGATCCGTAGACAGAGTAATGTCTGCAACATTGAATGCACCCATGTCTGAAATACAGAACGCTAGAATAAAACGTTTTCTTAAAAGCAATAGCTTCGTATTTAAGTGTATTTATAGTTATGTGTGCAGAAAACTTAGACTTCCACGTGTGTTCCAGTAGAAGTCCAACAGTATTCAGGGTGAGTGTATAAAAATATCTTGTTTTTAACCTTTATTTAGACACTAGACGTTTCAAATACACTGGTTCGTAAAATTATAAATACTGATTTATTAGTTGATAACAATGTAGAATGTCTGGCTCATGTTGAAAACACCTTTATCTTGAAAAAAATACTTTCATCTTCAGTACTGTAACAATGACATTCTAATTTCAAGTACTGTAACAATGACATTCCCCATCTTCAGTACTGTAACAATGACATTCTCACCTCAAGTACTGTAACAATGACATTCTCACCTCCAGTACTGTAACAATGACATTCTAATTTCAAGTACTGTAACAATGACATTCTCACCTCCAGTACTGTAACAATGACATTCTCACCTCCAGTACTATAACAATGACATTCTAATTTCAAGTACTGTAACAATGACATTCTCACCTCAAGTACTGTAACAATGACATTCTCACCTCAAGTACCATTACAATGGCATTCTAATTTCAAGTACTGTAACAATGACATTCTCACCTCAAGTACTGTAACAATGACATTCTCACCTCAAGTACC